CAGGAATGGTTTCAGATGGTAGGACTTGCTGGCACAGCTGAAAGTAAACTTCCACACTAACATCTGACAGGTATGCCCATTGAGGGGGATTTAATTTGCTGAGACGTCTAAACCATGGCCAAGGTAGTGCAAGTCCTGGCAAGCACCTGAGGTATCAGAGGAGCTCTTACACAGAAGCAGAAAAACATTCCAAAAAGGGCTTGAAGTGAAGAGCAATGTAATGGCCAGGACAGAATCATAGCATAGAATCCCAGAGTGATTTGTACTGGGAGGGAGCTTAAAGCTCCTCCAGCTCCAACCCCTGCCACGGGCAGGGACACCTTCCACTAGAGCAGGTTGCTCCAAGCCCCTGTGTCCAACCTGGCCTTGAACACTGCCAGGGATGGGGCAGCCACAGCTTCTCTGGGCACCCTGTGCCAGCGCCTCAGCGCACTCACAGGGAAGAAATTCACATCCAATCTAATATCGCCCGGGGCCCCAGCTCCACAGTGGATCACAGCTTCAAGACAATGAAGTAGTGCTGGCTTTGGCACTGCGGCATCCCCAGTTTTATGCTCCCCCAGCCCCGGGGCAGGCCAAGCTGTGCATTTCTGAGCAGCACAGAAGGGAACAGCCTCCAGCCCTTGTTCACACCAGCAACCACTACTGACACCCCAAGCACACACTGCACCCACTGCTCAGAGCCTCCCATCCTGCCTGCCACTGCTGCCAAAGCTGCCCTGTGCTGTGGAACACGCCTGGCTTTACCCCCAGGAAGGATGCCCAAAACCTTCTTATATCTAGACCTGTCATACCCAAATGATGAGTGACCATCCAAAAAGGAGCTCGACCTCAGCGTTTCCGGTTTACATCTTCTCCCTATAATTGTGAGCTATGCTTTGGGCATGATCAGACAGCCTGGGCATGCAGCAGACTCCAAAGCGCAACCACCCGGACCCAGACCAGAGCGCCTTTCATTGCTAAATCCCACAGAAACATCCACAAACAGAACAGAGAAGGGGACTTGGAACAGAAAAACTTTCAAGCCTAAACAAAGCCTGAACCACAAGTGCTTGAGCCTTGTGGGGAAATGCTGCCTGCCCTCACCTCCTTTCCCAAAGGACATCGTGCCATGTTCTTATGTTACCTGTCGTGGAAGTGACAGCCTTCCCAGCCCCACAGCAGGACAAGTGTCCGAATACCATGCCACAATAACAGCAGATGCCTGTACTTGTGCAAGGCCTGACTGCTGCTGCCCCAGGGCCAAGCAATATTTGCTAATACATTCCTTACTTTTCATGTCAATACGCCTCTCCAGTGCACACAGCAAGTTAGGAGGTGAGCCTGGTTAAACGCTCCCGATAACCTGTTGGAAGACAGGGACTTGGCTTATTTTCCACTTAAAAAACATTTCCCTGGAGAAGCTGTAGCTGTCAGGAACATGGATTCCATTCCAGACAGTAAAATCTCACCCAGTCGCTACCTGCACTACGTGTAGCTGAGGAGGATGAGCTGGACATAAGTGTTTGGACACCAAAAGTCACTTGGCAAAATAGAAGTAACATTCAAATTGTCTCAATGAGACACAAGCAGCCAAAGCTGCTGCCTCAGAGTCTCCATTCCACAACCTAAACACTTCACTAGGAATGGGGCAGTGCTGCTGCCTGGCTGGGAGGACCCATCCATGTCCCTGCTCCAGGGTGCCCATCGCACCAACACACCCGGGGATCCCATTGCCATCAGGAGGCTGAGGCTAGATTTGGGGAGGTTGGCAGCCACTGGGAAGGCTTAGCTGCCAGAGTCAGCGCTGGAAAGAGCCACGCAGTCATGCTTTTGGAATGCTCCATTGCTCCTAAGACATTACACAATTATTTCTCCCTGCAAGCCCCCCTAATACAAATGTTTAAAAGTGAGCTCAGCAGTAAGCAAAGAGAACTTTGTTTTCCTTTTTCTGAAGAGACACAGAGTGGCTGGTCCATGAACAGAGCCACTTGTGGGGATGCTGTTAGAGCCCCGGGGCTGTGGGGAGGGATGGTGGGATGGGGTAGAACCCCCGGGCTCTCCCCCCAGCCTGGCCGGGTCAGTCAGTGGCAGGGAGGCAGCGGGAGCCCTGTCCCTGTGGCACCCACAAGTCAGGAGCCGCAGCCCAAGGCTGCAGTTGAAGGACAACCCGCGGTGTCCCGACTGCCACTGACTC